GAGGCGAGCCTGTTTTGTATCAGGTACCTAAATAAGTGGCTAACATGTTTAGTAGTTCCAAAATTGGATAGTTGAAATTTCCTTCTTTTGTTGCTTCCAATTTTGTAAACTACGATATGTTTACTAAAATAAGCAAGTATGTATTTACATCTATTTGTTATTTTCGTGGCTAAAACTAAAACCGACACTAACTAAATAAAGTTGTTTATAATTTTGTAGTTAATAGACGCCCCCATTCTCAGAAGAAATATTTCTCAACCAGTGGAGCTAACATACAACAATCTTAAGGAAAAAAGCATATTTTCTGTCAGAAAAAGGTCTCCATTTCCTCTGGTGTTGCAGGTGTTGATCGGCGTTGATAATGTATATTATTATGTCATAAAAAACTATTTGTTACATAAAGATATCAAATTAGCATACAGCGTTATCTACCAATTATTAACCAATTTCTATTATTTTTTGTTATAACAAATTTCTGATACTAGTTATTGAAAACGGATAGCGAGGGAATAAGTTTCTTGGCTTTATTTGTTGCCTGTTTTTAAAGTTCTTTTTACCTCAATTATGGTGTAAGGAGTTCAGACTCTTCCTTTAGTGCTGACCTAAAATAAGTGATGTTAAAATATATTTCGATTTTTTTTGTTTACATACATATTTATAGTTTTATAATTAGACGGATGTATATATAGAAAACCTTGACATATTAATGAATATTACAAATATTGGCTATCGGACACGTTTCCACGAATTGTTATAGGAATGTGTTAGACAATTCAAACGAAGAGAAACATCAGTTTTAGGAACATAATAATAATAACTTTATGCATTAACCTAACTTAATATATGTATATCTATCTATCAATCGACTCCAGGTTATGCCTGTATCTTGGTAGATAAAGCAAGAAAATTAACATGAGTGATACGGTGATATAAAAAGTAAATAGCCATATTATGTAACGACAAAGAAGAAACTTGTATTTTATATTCTAAAATTAGTATATTATTCGCTTTTAAAACCAGTTTGTAAACATTAATTAATGATAATATAGACATTAATCGGCATAAAAAGTAAAATCCAATATACGGAAAGTTTAATTGCCTGTAGCAATAGGCGGCATTAGACAACTCTTGGCGGCAGGGGGCCCTTTGATAAGTGAGTACATACATCTAAGCAATCACTATGACATTCGTGTCGAGTTGACGATCTCTACTGTCTCTCCAAGTTTGGACCGCGCTGGTACCAAATGCCTATGCGGGAAAATAGTACCTGTCGTGTATGGTGCGAATTAGAAGTGCCGAGCGTTTTATGTGTATATAAGAGTGAACAGTCTGATTGCATATTCTCGCCTTATCTAATTGTTTAAGAAATAAATGTTTATAAGTACCCCTTTCATTATCATTTCTTTTAAATTATAACGAAATAACTACTTCTAAACTAAATAATGTGTGTCATTAAAAATATATATTTATAAGCACCCATCGTTATGATTTCTTGCTATAGGCATTCAGGCCGTATCTCTCTAATTTCCAATTTTATTACCTACTTCCTATTTACTGAGCGTCCTTAACGTTTTTGCTTTATTTAAAGAGTACATATGTATATTATGTACTGCTATTAACTGAGGCATTTTTAAGTCTCGGTTTCAAGACTAGTTTTTTAGCATAACTTCTTTGTTTTTACATTCATGAGGTAGAAATAATCTTCAATTAATATTTAAAAAATGTAAGAAAACAATGTCGTAATTTTCTTTTTACTCGTACTCAAGCCTTGTAAACACTAGTATTTCACCTCACGTTGTCCCAGATTTTGTCTGTATTTGGTCTATTTGGCACGCTTGTATGTTGTTGGAACGACGTTAATGTTTCACTTATAGTACTATTAAACTTTTATTGTGTTTTGTTTATTTTGTAGCCTACTAACTGGTATGACTGCTCTCGTTCAATAAGTAGAAAAAACATTCCTATGAAGTATTACGCACATTTAGGGTCAGTTTTACAAACAATTTTAGTGTGTGTGGTTGCTCATTAAATTACACTTGTATTATTTTTTCTCCTGACTTCGAGATATTGACATAAAATCACGATCACGAATAGTGGAATTGCTGCACGTTTAGATAAAAAAAGAGTGAGTTAAAAAAGACAAAAGAGAGTGTTGAACATGGTATATAATATATATGTTTTTATATTTATATTATTAATAATCAATTAATTTTCATGAACGCTCCTAACGGTTTAATAAAAACCAAATTTTTTTATCTCTGATTATAATTTACTGTGTTAAATTTTCCTTTTAGACGTATACCTGTAGATACACACAAAATAGACAAACAAATAAATATCTTACTAGGCAACAGTTGAAATGCTTTTCTAAAAAACATACTCCTAAAGATACTGCCTGCGTTTGGCAATATGTCCGTTGTCAGACAATGAGTAGAACAAAGACGGTTAATTATTTAACGACTTAATGTCTGAATTGGTTGTCGTTTATTAATGGATCTAATTACTGCTCAAGGTTTTCAGTTGTTAAAAGTAGCCAATTTATCGAAAAATACGAATAATGTACCAATCGTTGAGAAGTTCTAGTGTGTAACGTACGTCCTACCATAAGTAAGTCTATTGACATTTTTCCACACATAATAAAGGTGACCTATGGATTACTAAACTACCAAGATAACTAACATTTCTATTTCAATGCTTTTACACAATCGACAAAAAGAATGAAGCAGGGGGACGTCTCTTTTCATTTTATTGTCTTTTCCGCAATCAGTAATCATTTCTCATTTCTAACCATAAAGGAATAAAGGTAAATTCACTTTGATACAATTAAACCTTAAATGTATTTACAAAAGGAATGGTTTGCTCCTTTTCCGACCGTAGGGGAAGGACCTCTTGAAGAGTTCCATCTGGTAATTTAATGTTAATTGCATCAGTAATAGAATACTATAAAAAAATAATCATATTATTAGACGGCGGTCTTCTGTAAACAAACGATTGTATTCTTTATTAGGAGACTTGTATTTCGATCAAAATGCGTTTTATAGACTGATTATACTTTTGTTGTTTAGTTGTCTTTGTATCAGTTATGAACCTATTTTGTAAGGAGGTTAGGAGGTTGATAATTTGACATATATTTTAATATATAAACGCGGTAGGTATCTGTGTTAAGCCTGATTTTTAATAAATCTTTTTTCAATCGATAGAATTTATATTACTGCCACGGCAACGGTAACGTACTGGATGTTTTAATAGGCGAGACAGATATACCCACTCATCAGACGGCTTGATTGGGAGTCGATTGATTTTTGTTTTACAAAATATTCTCGCACTAGTGTTATCGTTTGCTTGCTTACTTTAACTATCTTTACCGTAAATGCATTTTATGACTTGATGCTTTTAAAAACATAAGTGCTTTTTGATATAGTATTTTATGAGATTTAAATGGCGCTTACCTAATTGCATTTATGGCTGATTAATTTGTATAAATTGGGTTTGTGAAGAGAGATGGAAGAACCTATTTTTAATATTTAAATAATCTAGGATTTAAAGTATATATAAGTAGTATTAACGTTACCACGTTACTATTATACTGTTATTTTATATTTTTAACGGCGTCGTGTATACTCGCGTTGAATATATTGACCACATGTCGGGTAGTGAAGCCAACTTAATACAAGTTACCAAAAATAGTGTTCGCCCACTAAAATGAACTACCCGGAAGCTCATATTCTAATTAAGTGTAGATAATACCTAATTATTTATTATATACGATACAAGAATACGAGAGCATTGGGCTACGTTCACAGTCGAGGGGATTAATTTATTAACTTTGAATTTTCTTAACCAATGCAATTAAAGGGATCTAAAGGAGCAGAATCTTGTTGTTTTTCTATCATATTTTCGTAAAGTTGAGGTAGGAGTATCATTGAAGGGTTCACTTCAATGATTTTTTGTCATTGGGGAGTGAATACGAGTGAGATGAGTGTTATATCATCAATTACTAGCAATTATTATCAAATGGTCAGCTCTAATTCATTCCAATATTCTCAATCACGCGTTCTAACACACAAACAACACAATTTCTTACTACTAAGTATACTGCAGTATATATACAATAAATATTGTTTTCCGTAATTCAATGGAGTACAAAGGAATTTGTACAACCTACATGCTATGTAATTATAGCCTATTATTACGTTGTGTACTGGAAGGTTTTGAACGGAATGAATAGAGCTTCAAGCAAATGCCACTTTGCTGGATATAGCATATAGGGTAACCGCGCCTTTGCCAGTATAAATGGTCCATTAGTGGATATCCGTATCCACTGATATGCAATTAGTAGCTCCTGTTCTACTGCTTTTAGTATAACATTACCTTATAGTTTGGCGTCATGGCTGATGAACAAGAGTACGGCAATGGCCACGCGTTTCGTTACGGTTTGTTGTTCGTCATCGTCATTAGCTGTCTTTGTTGTTTTGGTTTCCTTGGCCACGTTCTCGTGGTTTGTGGTGCCAGATTATCAGTTTTAACTTTTTTGGCTTTCATACACGACTCCATTAGGATTGTTAACTATGTAGTTTAAAAACATTTCTCCTATATTAAGACTAGTTTTATTTTTGTTGATTGAATGATTCATGCACCTCTATTAACAGTAATATAAGTTCAACTATATCTAACCTTTTATCTGGACGTGTAGTGAAGCTTGTTGTAAACTAGATAACGTTAGTTCATGATTCTCTGCGAATATATCACACTCAGGAAACGTCTTGATGCAAATGGTCAGCATTCCACAAGTAGTCGACCGCGTCCTGCATTCCCATCCGTGGAGGCGAGGCTTCCCAGAAGCATCGGATCCGCTAGACACCAGTCCGCTTCCCTGCATGCTGCTCGTTACGATTACCGCCTACACGTCCCCATTAAACGCGCAATTCCTCACCACAAAGACGATGGTCATTACAGTCGTCCCACTGGTGTTGCGGCCAGGCTGTCAGTCGCCGCGACGACATCCATCCGACCTAACCGCTGCAGCGCGCGCAGCGATCCCCGATTTCAACTCGATACATATTCGAAACAAATACGATTTAGATAGTGATTTAGTGCGACATCGTTGTGAATCGATTTTTTACGGTATGTGTACGATGGTAGCCTCGTACGGGTGCGAGACGAATCCGGCAATTTGTGTTCGTTAGCGCGTCACACTGTGGGCGGCTTATTTACGTGATTCTCTTTGTGGTTTTTAGTAATTAATTACGTAAATAAATATGAATAATTTATTAATTACTTCATACGGCTTCAGTATTTTTTTATAAGCATCACGACTGACTTGAGACGTTTACGTTGTGTTTACATATTGATTTGATTTTATCTCGAATTTCAATTCAATTAGACAGCGGATAGTTTGTGTAACATTGTTTATATTAGAGTGCTTCGATCTTAGTGTATAGCGTGTCGCGACATGATGAAACACTTGAGCTGCGTCACAAAATGTCCACAGTCAATCAAAAGAACATGAAGCCAGTGTTGGCGCCGCAAGGCATCAGTGTTAATAGCCTATAAATAAAACAGGGCCAATATACTGTCTACACTATGTAGAGCTGCGAATGTAACTGGGTCTGGGGCGGCAACCCTATAAATTGTAATTGCACACCAATTAAAAGAGATCTATTTAAATTGGTGCCTTTTGAAATTAACGGGTTACTCTACACAGTTTGGTTTCCGCTTTTAGTGTACTGTAATTCTGCTAGTATTATTATGACTTCACTATTATTCAAATATACGTAGTGTAATCCTTATTAATATTATGAATGCGAGTTTTTTTTTTGTGTCTTTTCATAGTGTAAATTATATGAAATTTGGCATACTCGTCTAATAATGCTTGTTATAAAGAATGATATGGGCTCTTTTTCTCTTGTCGATATTATACCAGTGATAATTAATTAATAAAATAAAAACAAAACCGAAAGCGGACAACAATATATCCTAAATAAAATAAATTAATGTTGGATTAGGTGCACTAGTATCTGCTTATTATAATAAAAGTCTGTAATTTGATACTATTTAGTTTTTCAAAGGATACTTGGCTCCTTAATTTTAAACTAGTTTTATAAACGTGCTATGTTACGCGATGCTTTGAACACTCTGAACTGATTTTCATATTTTTTCATTATCGAATAAGATATGTCAAAATTGAAGTTGCTTTTCTTTATAGAAAGTATATAATTAGGTGTGTGTGTGTGTGTGTGTGGAGACCGCCTCGTGTATGTATATATATGAATTAAAGTTAAGTAAATAAATTATAGACAGTCAGTTTTTTTCATAGTATTCCTTCTATAGAATTATTTGTCATTAAACTAATAGATGCTTGTTGACATGTAATTTGTTCTATATCGGGCACACATGAAATATGTATGGTGTTCGATACAACATGTCGCGGCGGCGCGACAGAGCGCAATGAACATGTCACCCCATGTTATTTCACATAGTGTATTTACTCAGCTTCATTTGAGTAGCAGTGTTACTTTTTAGTGACTTCTAAATATAGTAAATCTCCAGTAGTTAATGTATTATAATAGAACTTAAAAATTGTTATATATTTTAATATATTAGAACTTAATGAAAATAAAGTTTTTTTTTTAATTATTTTAAGAGATCATACCTTCTCTACTAATTTTGTCAAAAGTGGAGTTGCTTTTCTTAGTAGAAAGTATTTAATAAAATTCACATATGTATGTAGTTGCTTATTAAATTTAAACTAAATGTAACATTTTGTAAATATATACGTACTTATAACAAATATGAATATTTTCAGTGAAAACCAATTTAAATACCATCTCGGTTTGGATTTCTTATTTATGATATTAATATAGTAAAAAACGATGCACAAGGTGATATATCCTTCAAAAAAGCATAGAATAATAATTACAACGCAGATGCTAAAATTAATATTATTGGATATTATCTGTTCAGTTAGTTTGTATATTATAGAGATATTTAGGCCTCGTATCGTGATGTCATACTGTGTTCTATATAGCGATGAAGTCTCCAATAAGTAACACAATAATAAATTAATAAACACAATTACTTTTCTGGACGTGTGGTTCAAAATAGAAAACAATAAATATCAATCAGAGACGTCAACTCGAAACTGTGGAGAAAATATGAAACTATGATTAATTAGAGGCAGTCATTATGTTAGAGTTGTGTGGTAGATGTGGGCAGATAATCCTATTATGAACCTATTGTGCTGAGACATTAAATTATTTTTTATTATTATTTAATTCTTATTAAAAGTTACTATAGGGAGGCTTATGTTTATAGCAGATGATTGGCTAGACCAAGAATGATTATTTAATTCATAACGGATACTTTGTTGTGAAGCAAAAAAGTGAACTGTTGTTCAAGCAGATGAGATCATTTCGGTGTTCATAATATCCTATTGTCTATTGCGTTTCAGACAACACTAGATGTCAAAATGTGAAAAATTTCAATCTATGCAAAATTAAGGTGATATTATTAGATATTGTAAACAGACATCATTCGTCTATATATATATTTCTGCCTATAAACGCTATGAAACCAAGAATGTAAGTACCGCGATGCAACTTTCTCCAATGTTTCTCATATAAGCGAAACAAAAACTGAGGAGAAAAGGTCTTTATTTATGACCCTGTAACTAACTTCAAAGACGGCCTACCATTATATGCAAACAATTCACCAGTGTAATGTGCAAGAGTTATTAACCACAACATATTTAACAGCACGCATGCGCAAAAAGTTATTTAACAGGGTCTTAACAACGCTCGACTCGACCCAGCGATGTTGTAATGTTTCCCATAGAAAATTTGCGCCTTAGCAAAACAACATTTTTTGTCTTCAAACATTTGCGTGAATGCTGTGGTCCACGGTTTATTAACGCTCCTTGTTGCTTCACAAAATACCTCCGAAGATCTTTTGTTCATTTGGCCGTAAAATTTTAACTCTTAAACTGTAATGACGTTGTTTTGTCATTTCTAGTTTCTATTTTAGAATCGCTGTTTGCCGTCTGGATGGCACAGTATGGCGGAGTTTAAAGTTTTTTTAACCTAAATAATTTAAAAGTTTGATCTAAATAGCTTGTATTAGTTTCGTCACAAATGGTGTCGTCATATCTTTGTACCGATTACTTTGTCATATGAAGAGGTACATACTAAACTTGTCAATATAGTTTGACTCTACCATCAGTGAATATAGGAATGATCCTAATGTACTCCTATAAGAGTATATATTGAATACTAGCTGTACCCGCGGTTTCACCCGTATAAAATTTATAGCCTATGTATTATTCTAATATGTAAGTTTCCTTACTGAAAAGTTTCATCAAAAGCCATTCTGTAGCTTTTACGTGACAGTGTAACCAACATCCATCCATCTATCCATATCCATACTCACAAACTTTCGCGTTTATAATATTAGTAAGATACAAGAAGTGATCGCTGCTAACTCTACCTTAACAAGATTATAAGACACCCCCGTTTGTGAGGCAGCTCTAAAAATACATTATTTAGATATTAAAACTCTCATGGACAGAATCTGGTATAGATAATAGTTATTTTAAAATGTACTAAGATTTTTTTTAATAACTTTACGATTTATCAACGCTACTTAATAATAATAACAATAATATCTCAGTATAATTAACACAGCGTCACGCCAAGCTAAGTAGAGCTTGTGTTATGGGTACTAAACAACTGATATATATACATTTTTTTTAAATACAAACATAATATACATAAAAAACACCCACAGATATAAACAATCATACTCATGAATATAAATGTATGTACCGTACTGGATCCCGCGACCATCGGACGTAATACGATGTTTTAACCGCTAGACCATCGAGGTCGTCTTTAACTTCGCCGTTAAAGACAACCCCACTTTTTAGAGCTAGTAATTGTATCATATTGTAATATTCCAAAATACACAAAGTTATTTTTTTTAAACCTTCACTATACTCAATCCAAACTCTATAGACAGTTCCTGCCAGAAATACAGTACATATCGAAAATACGCTACCTGTCAAACAGGTAATTTTGAAATCAATCATTGAATTCAAACTTCACTACGGTGACATATGTGGTACCTATAATAAACATGTTTCTAAATGTAGATTGTTATCAACATACCAGTTGCAATCGAAACATTGTAACATAAATAAATGTAGTTGCATTATGTAACGCCGCTGCTAACAATTCTCGTTTGCAACAGAATGAGATTGACAGATTAGTGATTATGTATGTGACTGACAAATGTGTCAGTTTGATTTACAATTTGTAAGTATAGATTGGAAATGTCAAGTAAAAGTCAAGCATTGTACAAAAACTAATTCTTAGGAGCAAAGTTAAATAATATAGCTCTTTCTGGTTAATGAAAAGATGTTATAATCAGGAAGATAACCATAACCGGATGTTCAGTTTAGATTTGATATGTTCTGTCAGAAGTAATCTGGAAACGACAACTTTATTGTTTTATAATTATTTAAATGTTAGGCACTGTTCCTTTGTCAAACAAAAAAGTTTTTTTCCAAAGTATGTATAAAAAGGTACATTGTAGTATTCCCTCTCTTAAGCTAAACATTCAAGTTTTGATACTTCTACGTACTACACCATCATGTCTTCAATCTATACAAATTGAAGAATGTTTGTAATTTCTAATTAACATTTTTTCATTAGATGCAAATGAAGATATATGTGGTACTCACATCGTTATTTTAATTTTAAAAATGTTTCTCTGTCTGTCTGTTTGTTCTTGCTAAGGACTGGATCGATTATAACAGTACTTTCACTCGGTCTAATGTTGCATGGAGCAACTTAGGGGGGTAACAGCTAGTGTATGTTACAAATGTTTATGGCAAATAGGTATTGCTTTTGATTTTCCAAATACTTTATCAAATAGTTATTAAAAAAGGTTTGATGAGTACCTTACTCATCATACTTTTTTTTAAATATAAGAAGTAGAGGTACGCCTTATTCATCATAACTTTGTATTGTATTGCCTTTCTGAGTAGTTGAACAATACGGGTTAATATTATAAAATAGAATAGGAGCGTTATAAAATGTTAAATTTTTACTCCGTCAAGAGACCACTTC